GAACTGCCAAACACATTTCTATCAAACTCATTGCGCCGGTGTATTCCAGTTTGGAGGCAGCACGTAACTGATCCCTTGACTCTCCAGGTGGTGATACACTGTTACAAGATCCCGCAGCAATCTCTACCCTCTGGCACCAGCCCCCGTTCAAGGCACTACCAGGAGATCCCCACAAAGCGAGAGCAATTCGACAGGAGGTAGATAGTTTGCTTACAAAGGGCACTCGGCATTAAGTCCGGGCTTCTACTTGCAAGTATTGGTGGTTCCAAAGACTATAACTGAGACTACAGGTGGCTGTGCCCCATGTACTTAAGCAGACCAAATCAGTATGAGCTTCCTGGAAACTCCAAGCACCATATTATTCTCCGTGCTCTGTTTCTACTCGTTAGCCTCGCTAGATTTGAGCTATACTCCGCCCAGTTGGGCCAAGTAGTCGAGTGATGGGTGCTTCCCTTGAGGTTTTGCATGGCTTCATAGGTATTCACCAGATTGTGGAAACAGGTGGTGCTACTGCTGTGCCGGTACACATCAACGTGTACCTAGATGGCTGGTTGCTACACAACCCAACAAGGGGTTAGTCGAGCAGTAAGGCTAATACCAGATTTTCTAGACCAGTTGTACTTCCGAGTAAATCGATCAAGTCCCACCCTTAGCCAACACAACAGTTGGTGTTCCTAACCAGGGAGTTCAACACAGAGGTGAGCTTGGTACGGTCAACTCAGACCCATTGCCTAAATGACCTAGCTGAATACCTAGTCAGCGTTCCCTCTGTGTCTCTCAGGGAAGTAATGCGAATCACCGGAATGTCAGCGGTTTGCAGGGTAGTTCCCCCAGGCCGTGTTATGCAGCTGCCCGTTATAGCACACTTTTGTTGCAACACCGGGAACTGGAGAGGTGAGTAACACTCTCGGAATGCCAACCTCAGGCAGGGGTTTCCTTGGACCCACTCGCCACGGCTATGATTCTGGAAACGAATACCTCCCTCACATGTTGGGGAGCGCACATATTGCACCAACAAGCCCAATGGGAAATACGGCCCTGCATTAGATTCAGGACTGCGATATCAAATGACTCGAACTGAAAGAAGTGTGCTTAGCACTACTTCACTTAGTTTTAGACCACAGAGTCTTGCTTTGCACGGCCAACACAGCGGTGGTCGCCTATAGCTAGAAGGAGGGGGACCAGATACCCATCATTTTCAGTCCTAGCGGAGAAAATTCTCCTTTAGTACCTGGAATACAATGTGGAGCTAGCCGCACAACCAACAGTCAAGCGGATGGCCTCTCATGACGGCTCCATCTCCAGAACACGGAGTGGCGGATACCCCAATGGGTAACCTTCGGACTGTTTTGGTGGTGGGATGGTCCAATGTTAGACCCCAGAACACCAAGCTCCTGACGTACACGACATTCCTGCCGACTCCAGGGACCTTTGTCGACCCCTGTGAGCCCACATGGACGTGTAAGCCTTTCCTCCCTTCCTGCTATTCACTTACATGCATCAAGGCTCTCAATTGACTCACTCAGTAGGATGCTAATGTCCTGGCCAGGGTGAACAGGGATCCCACCAATACAGCCTATGAGTCGAAATGACGTGCGTACACTGATTGGTGTAGTGGAAGGGAGATCCATGTCATTTCTTGTTGGCCAGACAGCTGACTTTTTGTCCAACGAAATAGACTTGTCCTTTCAGCGATTATTGGCTATAGGTCAGTCTTGTCTCTATTGGGATTTTCTGGGGACGAGGCTAGCTGGTTGTCCTACCATTAGGAGACTATTAACTGTTCAATCAGAGGCCTAGAGCCCGAATGAGGAAACCAACCAATTGGAACTTCTCGGTTGTGCTGGCCGCTCTAAGCAGACTGCCCTTTGAGGCTCTCCGATCAGCACCACTCAAACTTTTGACGTGGAAAACAATCTTCCTACTCACCCTCGCCTCAGGTAGGCGTCAGGCTGAACTAGGGGCCCTGTCATTCTCGGACGAGTGTGTCGTCTTTATGGACAATCAAGTCATTGAAGTGTTGAAGATATCTGATGAAGATAGCGATGACGATTAGCAATTACATTTTTCAAACAATAAACTTTTGAACAGAATTATAACTATTTAATATAGTTTATTAAATTAATAACATAGTTTATAGAGTTGAAAATTTATGTTTAAATGGTCTATTGTGTATATAGTATATATAGCAGATTTGTAGATCCAACCAAGCTGTTTCATTCATCTAGTTTTTCTTTTACATGGGACGGCCATGTAGGATTTATGCAGTTGAAGCATCTTTCCACCCAGGAAATCATTTATTTACATCTTTTCTGTACTGTACGATTCTGTTTAAAATTGTAAAATTCTAGCATCTTAAACTTATTACTTATGCCACATAAAAGAAAAGCCGGAAGAGAAGTTACATTAAATAATTATATTATCGCGGCCATATTGGATTTATGCTAATTTTCAGTTACCCAATCAACACATTTAGCACTCTCGTACCTTCCCTGACTCAAAACAATACCATAGCATCATGAATTTTTAAAATACCCCATCTAGAATTAAAGATATGTCCAAATAGTTATATTGCCATGTTATAAAAATGTGCAAAACGGCCATTTTGAATATATGCAAATTAGGTACATTTCGGAAGCCTAGATTTTCCTAGATATTTAGTATGTCAATCTAGATACCTTTTCGAAAAGCACTGTGAAGAAATTATTTCTGTTGCAATTTGTGACGGGTTGGTCCCCTTTTTTTGCTAGAATGACTGGACTATTGCTCAGGATTCCTTCGTTATGGTGAATTGTGTAATATTCGGTGCTCTGATATAACATTCTATGATGGTCATATTTCGTTATTTATAAGCCACTCGAAAACGGATGTGTACAGAGACTGTAAATCTATTGTAATAGCAACAACAGGTAGTCATTCGTGCCCAGTAGGAATGCTCTATCGTTATTTTCAGTTAGCAAAAATCCCAGATTTTTCGAGGGATTTTATTTTTAGGCCTATATCTAAAATGAGAAAAAGATATATTTTATGTTTGGGTAACTTGTCTTATGCAAGAGCTAGGGAAATTCTTATCAAGAAATTAAAACCTCTGGTACCAGACACTATTGTATTTTCACTTCATAGTCTCGGATCAGGTGGAACCACTGCAGAAGTGTCAACTTCCTTGGGTTTGTGATCAGATATTCGCCCTTTCACTGCTACAACTTTCTCGCAACAATGTGTTTTATAATTTCTTTAATTTATCAGTTTTCTATTTTTAGATAAAAACAGAATTGTTTGTTTACACGTTAACGAAAACTTATAAACTTTCTATTTATTCATATAAATCCATTTCGTTAAGTGATAATGGCCAATTTGGTATTATACTGGAAGTATCGATTCAAGGTGATTGATCATTACTGCCGTTCTTTGTTACCTCGAGCAGGGTGCTGCCAGAGCAACTAACCTGAAAGTTTCAGTGGGTTGTTTAAAGAGCAAGGTTATTTTAATCAGTGAAGTCTTAAAACATGTGCGGTTCTGGCTTCTGAGTGTTACTATCAACATAAGGTGGGGGGAAAGGAATTGCAATTCTTGTCAAATTATGTTGACCTTGCCAAGTACTTTCCAGCAGTTAGGGTAGTATTCCTATTCATTGCTGGCAATGCACTGTAATTGGCTGAGCATATTTGCTCAAACCACAAGAAATTTAATGTGTAACCGTTGAACCAAGCAAGTCATCTCAGAAAAGCAGTTCATGCATCTGAAATCCAATAAGTATGATCTTGATACAAAGTCCCATAATGTCCAATGTACGTACTAAATTGGGACAAGATCCATCTGTAAACAGCCAAGAAATGAATCTTTAATCAGATCATGAAACAAATCTTAATATACACGTGTACAGGCACGTCAAGTTTTCAAACTGCTTCTGAACTTCGACTAACAAATCATAGTACCATGAGATATATATAAACAGGATTTAATTTTACCAGTTTTCAAAACCTTCAACGAACAATGCAACATGTGCATATTTCAAACACCTGATTCAAAAGACAACCATTAATGTGAAATAAAATTAGCTCTTTATTGCCAAGCAGCATGCAACACAAACAATCCTCCACTACAGCGACAAATTACACATGTAATAATAATTAGAGAAAGCATACAAAATTCAGCTGCTTTGCACAACACGGCAAGAATTCTACAATACATGAAGTATACAACGAAAAGTATTTCAAATGTGAGCACAAGATTATAAATTCTCTACAATTTTTTTCCATCACAATTTTTGATCACTGAACTTTAAGAAACCTAAATAGCAGTGTTTATGGCCCGTGCAATTATACGACTTGATATTGAACAAATGTACATTGTGAACAGATATTCTCTTCTCAGAATCCTCTGCAAAGGTTACAATTATTCAAAGTCAAGTAGCACCCCGTTGGTAATATGTACAACAAATATTCGGTTGTCTTATAAAGGTATAACACTGTTACAATTTTGTTATTATAATAATCCAAGTGTATGGTCTTGTCATAATGTATTACAAATATATTGTACTTGAATGAATACAGATTATATCATAAATAAAAAAAAGTGTGCTCTGCTGTTCAAGCAGGATTTCTGGAAACTGATGTACACAACATGCATGAGCACTTTTACACAGTGCCAATAAATTAGTGGAATTACAGCTTTCAAACACTTTTCAACCTTAATTCATGTGCATTTCTTTTCATAATTGTACACTTATTCGAACAAGTTTGAGGCACAGTTCCTTAACAGTTGATGGACTTTTGAATAAAGATGTCATTACATGTATATAACTCCTGATTTAAGAAACTGATACAATCTGTACAAATTTTGTACACAACTACTACTGCAACAAAGACACTGAAAGATGATTTTAATTATAATTCAGAATTACAGTGACACCCTGAAGTGCTGAAGTTTAGATCTGGCCAACTACATGCATGCTTTCTACTAGTATTTAGTTTGTACACACAGATGTTCAATCTCTGTATTTATTTGAGAGGATGTCTGAACTTCTCCCCAGCATATGTAGCTTTGTCACCAAGCTCCTCCTCAATCCTACAAAAAGACAACAAAACAGAAATCAATACATGTTTAAGTTTAATCGAGCTGTGTCTCCTATCTCACAGTACTGATTTTGTAGGAATTCAGAGTCAAAATAGAATCCCAAAAATTGTTACATGTAGTTAGCACGTATACTACTGAGAAGTTTGGTCTTCAATAAAGAAAAAATTTGTATGTGACTGGGGGGACACTAAAATAAAAATGTGACCCCCAGATTTCCTTCTGTTTTACACTTTTGTTACACTAAAATGTAAATTTCATTTTATCATTTCCAAGATTACTATAATATCAATGTACTATTTTCTGTTTTCCCGTGGATAAGCACAACTATACGTGTCACAGCTACTCGTTGTCCATCAGTAGTGTAGGATATATCAGCTTAGGGGGCAACATTGGAGGTATAGCCATTTCTTTGCTTTTCAATTAATATTTCAATTTTAATATTTTACAATATACAAACTATGGGCATGTAAAAAGCACTGAGACTAGTGGAAGACTACTGTAAATTTAAAGCATTAATTTTCATTATTATTTACTGAAAAGGCTTTTTGGGCGTTTTGTATGGAATTTATTTTCACTGATTTTTGATGAGTTGAATGTGAAATATAGGAAAAAAAAAGTAAATTCACTGGATTTTATTTTCACTGAATCACATCCCCTTCAGCGAAAATAAATTCCAAGCGAAAATAAAGTATTTTACAGTATGTGACATGACAAATATGTGAAATTTTAAAAATGTCTGAGATAGAGGTACAGATGGACAGACGTATAGATACACGTACATGTTCAAAATTAATTGGCGCTAATCAGTAAAAATAAGATCAAAGAAAGCTTAGAAAGAACTTCCGTGTGCTGCGAGTATTGAAGACACATCAAAAATTAATTCAAAATTACTTGTACATGAGATTTT